CAAGTGTAGCAGAATGACCATATAGAGTTTCACCAAATACAAGCTCATAAGGTTTCTTATTATGTGCTTTACAAATTAAGCTATTCATTATGTAAATTACAAATCTCAACCCAAACGACCAATTCTGATACTTATTGTCTTTCATCCACTTTCCCAACTTTGTTTCAAGAATTCTATTTGCCTGCTCAACTAAACCTTGACTAGCAGAATGTTTTGATCTTTCATTAATAATTGAAGAATTAAAAGTGGCCTGAATGTAGTAAAAATTTCAAACAAAAAAACCACCACTTCTATTGCTTGCTTGGAGGTAAATGCACGAGCTCAGAAGTACCTGGTAAAATAATCACACAAATAGGCAATATACTTAAATTTATTATCATGTTTAAAGATTATATTGACTAAATCAATTTGGTAAAAAAAATTAAAAATAAAAAATAAAATAAAATAAATAAAATAAAATAAAAAATAAAATAAAAAAAATACAAATAAAAAAATAAATAAATTATTATAATAAATAATTACAAATATTAATGTTAAAAAATTTACTTGTAAGTATGATATAAATTTTTGCTCAATAATTAGAATCCCAGCTAGTGGTTGAATTTGTGTAAGCCTTGCTATATAAACAATACATTGTTTCACAAATTTTTCTACAAGATCCTGTTGGCAATATCCCTATTTACTACTAACTTGATTCCATGTTTCTTTTTGACTACTATGCTGGATAATGGTTGCATGTATCTTGCAAAATTCTTTATACATGTTTTCTACAGCTAGCATGGGAAGCTCAATTTTAACCTTTTCATTATTTTTTTTATTTTGTATTTGGATGTGAAGTACAATATAAGAATCGCCATTTTGTTGCAATTTAAATTTTTTTTTAACCCAATAATAAAAAGCAGATATATATTGGGTGGTATTCATAGAATCAAGAAGGACTTTCTTAATTCTTTGTAATTTTTCTTGGTCGATTAATACCTTTTCTCTTTTATTTGGTGCCAAACTTTCAATATATTCTTTAACCAAATCATCAAAAGTTTGCTGTGATATAAATG